ATAATTTTTAAACGAGTTTTTAAGATGTTCGTCGCGAACTAGACAAAATAAAATCAGGATTGAATTTTGTTGGTGGTGTATGCGAAGATAAACTTAAAGCAGTAGGCGAAAAAATAAATAAAGTTTGTGAAGATTTAACTAATGTCAAAAAAATGCAGGAAAAATTATCCTCGGACAATACTGAATTAAAACTAAAGAGCGTAGATAATGAAGATCGAAACAGGCGAAATAATCTAAGAACCGATGGAGTTATTGAAACGAACGATAAAAAGGATTATGATATAACTAAAGAAAAAATAAAGCAGTTTTTTAACGTACAACTTGGAATTGATAAACATATTAAAATTGAACGAGCCCATCAAGTTGGGCTCGCTAAAGTAGAACGAGAGCGAACAATTGTTCTAAAGCTTTGTGATTATGAAGATAAAAAAATAATTTTAGAAAAAGTAATGAAATTTAAAGGGAGAAACTTTTTTTTAAATGAAGATTATAAAAATATAGTTCATTTAGTTTTACGACTCGTAAAATACTAAAAGAACTTTTTGAGCAGGGTAAGCTTCATCGACAAAACGGTCATTACGCTAAAGTCGTGTACAATAAACTTATTTTTCATGAATTTAAGGAAAACATCCACCAAGTATTGTTAACTCGACGCATAGAAATAAAGAAATCGACCGCAACGCAGCTAGTCGTTTAACGCACGGAAACGTGGAAGCTTTTTAAAGTTTTCCACTGATCTTTGGATAGCGCAAAAGGTAAATTTTTTGAAGCCAGTTTTAGCCTCCCAATATGGCGGTGTATTTAGCTGATTACAAATTAAGAAAATTTAGTTACGAACTTTTGTATCTTTTTTTTAATGAAAATAAATGTTTAAGCCTCAAATACAAACGTAATTTTTGGTTTTGCATAGCAAATAACATGAAAAGAAACGCAATATTACATATTTACGTAAATTTCTAAAAGATATATAATATTTTGTGGTAATCCTACAGTTACACGGCCTAAAATAATTATATTTTCGCCAGGGGGTTTTGCTACATCTTTATAATAAAAGAAAAAAGATTGCTTCCCATGCAAAACCCTTAGTCAATGTAGGAGCACTTTCTTGTAGCAGCAGGCTACAAGATAGTTGATGTAGCAGCACTCCGTTGCGAGTCAGGCTATAAGATAGTCAATGTAGCAAACCCCCTGGCAAAATTATAACTATTTTAGGCCGCGTAACTGTAGCTTTACCTTAAATTATTTTAATTTTTCTCATTAAAAGTTGATTGGAAACGTTTGAAATAAATTACTACTAGATTTTTGTTTGTTTTTTAGTTCATCTAATAGGTTATAACTAGTTATATAAATAAAGCCTTAAATTTTACATTTTTAATTTTAGTTTTACCATAAATTATTTGTTTAATATTGTTTTTTATACAGTTTATGTACATTTTAGTTCTTAACTACCCAACGCTGTGTGCTAGAAGGTTAATAACACAACTGCATGTTAAGCAGCTGAATGTCTTTTTAAAATGAACTATTATAAAGTTTTTCAAATAGATATCACAAATTTACAAATGCTGCATGAACTATTAGCTGAGCTCTGTGAGTACACACAACTCAGAGGTTCCTTCATATATATATATAAATATATATATATATATATATATATATATATATATATATATATATATATACATATATATATATATATATATATATATATATATATATATATATATATATATATATATATATATATATATATATATATATATATATATATATATATATACATATATATATATATACATATATATATATATATATATATATATATATATATATATATATATATATATATATATATATATATATATATATATATATATATATATATATATATATATATATATATATATTTATATATATATATGAAGGAACCTCTGAGTTGTGTGTACTCACAGAGCTCAGCTAATAGTTCATGCAGCATTTGTAAAATATATATATATATATATATATATATATATATATATATATATATATATATTTATATATATATATACATATATATATATATATATATATATATATATATATATATATATATATATATATATATATATATATATATAATATATATATATATATATATATATATATATATATATATATATATATATATATATATATATATATATATACATATATATTACAGATAACTTTATTTTAATGTCATTTTAGCAACGTATTAGACAATATAAGATCAATGCTTTTTTGAATGCTGCAATTTGGAATATCTGCACAATCGTGATCTATGAGCAAAAGAAATAAGAATCTAAAGCTTTTAAAATATGAGTTTGATCTCTGATGCTGCAGTTTCCATTTGAACATTCAACGCTACTTAGCATCAAAAGTTGTTTGAATGGTGCTGTGAGTTCTAAGCATTTGATATCATATTAATTTGCGAATGACATAATTTCACTTGCAAAATAACTTGTAATGTAAAATAAATTTACATTACATTTATTATACCTTTACATTAATTTGATTACTTATATAAAATTTTGATAAATTGTCAATACTTGTATTCCAAAGTATAAAATTTTGCTTGCTTACTAGCAAAACAAATTTTAAAAATAGTTGGATGTTCAAAAAAGACTATATTTAGAATCATTTAACAATTATTACATAAAATAGAAAGTGTACAAGTGGACAACTATATGAAAATCAATAAAAAAGAGGATTATTGCTTTGGTCAAAGTTAACTTTGACCAAAGGATTGAGGATTTACTATAACTAGTTATAGCAAATCCTCACATGGCTGAGCCAGTTTTGGTACAATTCGCAATGCTGAAAAAAATGTATTGCACAAAATTTATTTTACGACAAATGTGCAGGAAAGTATTAGAACTTATTGTGTAAAAAGAAAGCAAGTATAATTATGGACAATAAAACTTGTGTGAACTTAAACTTCAAATAATACCAGGACATTTATATATATATAGAGGTCTGCAGGTAAATGGTTAACACTACTTTTAAAACAATATAACTGAAGAAATTCCTAAAAAAAAATTGAAGTTTAGCAAGCCATTTGTCAACATGAGTTGAAATCAAAAGGTTTTGTTAATTAATTAGCAGAAGTATATCTTAAGTATCTAGAGTACCTAAAAAAAAGCTTATTGCCACTATAATACTAAAATTATAATACCAAATTACCTAAAGCAAGTGCTTAAATAATTCTTAGTACACTAACTATTAAATTTTCAAAATTATATAAGCTGTTTAGCCAACTCAGGTATTGCTACACAAATTAGCAATGACATGATAATAATCATAAAAGACTGTTCGATGGTGTTACAAAAAAACAAAGTTACTCTTACCTTGACAGTGTTAAATTCAATTTTATTACCAAAACTGTTGGCTAATGATCAATAAAGTAAATTTCAGTTCATGAAAAATTACTAAATTAAAATCATATTTCAGCATTAGTCAAACTAATCATAAATAATGAAGTAGGGCAGAACTTTAATGTCAAACTAAAAAAAAAAATGATTATAAGTTTAATGTTATAAAAAAAACATATTTAAACTTGCATTAAATATAATTCGTTTAATAAAAATATAAAAGAATCGATAAATTTATGTAGATTAAAAGAAATGACAAAAATAGAGCTTCAAAACATATATATAATAAAAAATTGAAATCAATGCTTGGCAAAAACAGGTTTTCGGTTTTTTCAAATTGCAAAACCGGATAACCGGTTTTACACTAACTTTTTATTATGAAAAATAGGGTGCACAATTTTGAAATTGTTTCTTAACAATCTCAAATTAAAACAATTAAACAACAATAACAATAGTTAGGCAACAAACAAAATGTGAGCGAACGAAACAGCGAACGAAAATATCTATAAGTTGACTAAGTATTTCAAGTTTGTGTTTCTAGTCTTTTGTTGGCTGTTTTGATTATTATAAATATTTCAAAATTTGAAAATTGTTGAAAGATTCTGTCAGTATGTAATCTAAAAATAACTAGTAAAAAAATAAAATACCAATGAGGTATGACAGAATGGAGGGAGAACAAAGCCAAAAATCATTTTAAATTGTAGTACAGTCTTCGTTTTATAATTATTCCAGGGGAAAATCAAAATGGTGCCTTAGCGTTGAAAGTGGAAAATTTTCAAATGTAGTTTGTAAACTTTGTAAGTTGTAATCAAAATGGATTACTTTCACAAAAGTTGACTGGATATGTTTTTAAAATCTGCTCCAACTATCAATTAGTAATCAAAACAAAAATCATGATCTATGTAAAGTAATTGTTTTTGAATTTCTCAATACAAGACATAAATATGTCAAACTTTAAACAATCTCTACTTCTCCGTTAAGCTATAGGTTTTTTTACAATTTTAAAAAACATTTTTTCGGCAAGCAACTTATCTCTCTAGGAGTTTATTTTGTGTGGTAGTATTTTCAGGGTTCCCTCAGGGTCATTGGTAAAAAACAGGAAATAATTAAAAAAAAAAACAGGTCTGTTGAGGCCCAATTTTGTGACACAATTTAAAAAATATTATTTAAAAAAATGATAAATGAACAAGTAAAAACATTTTTTAAACAGCAAAAACTATATATAAATATATATATATATATATATATATATATATATATATATATATATATATATATATATATATATATATATATATTACCATTTATTTTTCAGTTTTTTTTTCACTGAGATATTAACTTACTTACATTCAAAATAGATTCAAAAGATAGAGAAAATTTTTTTCTATAAAATAATGTCTTTTTATTTTGAATAATAGTTTCCACCATTCTCACAAACATGATTTAATCGAATTGAAAAAGAATTACAACTTTCTAAGACAATATCAAATCTAATTCTCTTTACTGCACGTTTCAACTGATTGATTTATATTTTTTTGAGCTTACTCGACTCCAATCAACAGCATGGTTAAATTCCTCCCAGATAGAAAAGTCTAACGGGTTTAAGTCTGGGCTATTTGGAGGCCAACATTCTTTAAAATCAGGAAAATTGTCCTGACACCATTAATGTGTCAATCGGTGTGTATGTGCTTATGCACCATCCTGCTGAAATATCCAGTTTTCACCAAATACTTTATTGCCATATTTTTTGGCAACTGATAAAACATCTTCAATATACCTTTCATGGTTAACGGTACCCTTTTCAAAAATAACTAATGGTGATACACCTTTTGAACAAACTCCTAACCAAACAATAACTTGTTCAGGAAATTTTTTTTTGCTGCTTGATTCCTCTGATGCTATCAGCTTTAACACGATTTGAAGCCCATATTCTGTCATTTTGAGAGTTATAAATACCATCAATATCAAAAATATTTCGTCAGAAAAAAGGATTCGATTGGTATCAGATCTTCGATAATTGTTACGAACCAATTTGCAAACTTAACTCTCTTTTCATTGTGGTCATCGGATAATAGTAGTAGGACAACTTTTTTGTAGGATCGAAGCTGAAGATCATCCTTAAGAACACGATAAACTCTTGGTTGAGAAATATCCAGTTTGTTTGCCAATTTTCGTGTAGAAATTGGCTTTTTCTTCTGTTTCAGCCGGTTTTTTATTTTTTAAATAGTTGCTTTTGTTCGAGCTGTGCGAAGACGACCAGGAGGTTTTGAGAGTTTGATTGTACCATCTTTGGCAATCATTTTGCACCATCTTTTGATTGTTGGTAAGCTGAGAGTGCCACTCAAATCACGAAAAATTTTAGTTAGACTATCACCATTTTTATACTTAGAATTTACAACATTTTGCAAGTCTTGACTTTTCATTGTTACTGATTCACTTGCTTGCGCGCAGAAAAAAAAAAGAATGGTACGTTATTCAGCACAAAATTCTCTATCTTTTAAGACCATGTGCGGTTCATACTTTGTACTACAGAGGCCAAAGTTAATCAATACAAAAAGGTATCATTATAATAATTTATATCAGTATAACAGAGTCTAGAAATTCATTGTAAAATTTAATCATTGCAGTTAAAACTTTTACATTGGAAAGGGCTTTCCCATTAGAATTCTATAAAACTGCTTTCATATGGGGAAGGAGAAGCTCCTTCACTCTGATTTAAAAATCTAAACCACCTAAACTATAAATATTGCAGTATGAGGTTAGGATGGTAATCTTTCTAGTTGTCACATAAAACACCCTGATCAGCAGAACAGGCTAACGCCATTTTTAAAAAAAATTGCTTTTCACAATAATTTAATTTATGAATCAAGTCACACAAGTGAAAACTTCATTTAAAAATAAAATAAACTTTCATAATTATTACTATAATTTAACAATTCATGTTTAAAATATAAAAATTAACAAAAGTTGTTTATTTTGTTAAGTTTAAAAATCCAATTTATAACATTTACATGGTTTAATATTCTATTTCAAAAAAAAAAATAGAGGTTAAAATTTTGTTAAGTAAATAACTGATATAATAACTAAAAAAAATTAGTAAATTTTGTTTAATAACATTTTATCTTGATTGCCTCCTAAATCCATAAAATATATCATTTTATATATAAACATTGCCAGACTTTTAAAATAAACAACAGGCTATTGCTTTAAAAACAGGAAAAAACAACAGGAAAACAGGCCAAAATAAAAAAAAACAACAACAGGAAAACAGGCTTTGTAGGAACCCTGTATTATTTGCTGGATTTTAACACAAATTGTAAGTACGTGCCTATCCAATGAGTTACAGCACCGATAATGTAATCAAAATCTTCAAGCATTTTATTAAAACGCGCTTAGCGTTTGAGTTGTAAGGACGGATTTTGTTGTTATTAGTAGAGCTGAATTAGAAGAGTTGAATTAGAAGAGTTAAACTTCATTTTACTACGAAGGTTATACCTTGAGAAACTTTAACTTCGTTCTCCCTCCAGTCTATTATATCTCCTTGATAAAATAAAATCCAATATTAAAGTGCTTTTCAAAATTTCATATATTTTCACAATACTTTCGCTTTCAACGTTACTTTTTAGCTTGTTAAAACAAGAAATCTTTAAATGAATAAAGTATTTATTTAGCAATGTATTATTAACAACCATAAAAAAAAAAAAAAAAAAAAAAAAAGCGGTTATCAGTATTGACAAAACTGAACTGAAAACCGGTTATCCGGTTGCGATTTCCACTGGTTGCCAAGCCCCTAAAATTAATATATACAAATACATTAATTTTAGATTTCTAAATGCAACTAGGACTTCCAGATCATTTATAAAGTAAGTATACTTAAAAACATGTAAAAAACAATCCATATATTATAATGTATAATACATACCCATTATATATATATATATATATATATAAAATTATTATTTTATAAACATCAATAAATACAAATTTCTCTTGATACTAAATATATATATTTTTTTTAATTTTTGCTGAATTTCTATGACCAGCGTCTTCAGCCTAAAAGTTTTTTATTTGTTTTTATTTATATCTTATTTTTAAAACAGCAGTACTATTT